ATTTTGCCAATAAAAATTTAATCTGTGCCAGTATGAAGAAGGATGAAGCTAGATCCCTATCTCTCACCATGCAGAAAACTCAACTCCAAATGGATCAAGGACTTCAAGATAAGACCCATTATCCTGAATCAGATAGAAGAGAAAGTAAGGAATGCATTGGAAGCAATCATCTTGAGCGAGGTAACTCAGACACAGACAAAGAAATGTTACATGTTCTCTCTCATGGGATGCTAGCTTTGAAATCTTAGATATGCATGTTTTAATCTAAAAATTCAGAGAGGTCAAGAAACTAATAAGCAGCCATAGATAGGTATGCAGGGAGCCTTTCTGTGAGGGGTGGTAGAATGCAGTAATATGAAGGAGGAAAGGGGAACATTAGACTAGAAAGGGTTAAATGGGTTGGGGAATTGGGAGGTTATTCCAGAGGAGGGAGTTTGGGGAGAAATAACTAATGCCAAACGCCTTCAGAGAAAGTTATCTGGAAACCTAACACTATAGAAGCTACTTAATATACACACACAGGCACACAGACAGACAGACACACACACACACATATACATATATATATATATATATAGAGAGAGAGAGAGAGAGAGAGAGAGAGAGAGAGATTGAAGGGAGTACCTTATAACAGGGGGTCATTCCCCCTTACTAGACACCATAGGTTAGCAAAGTAAAAGCCTAATGCCAGGAATAGACTTTTTATTTTAAAGTTTTTGACCTGTGGCTCCATAGACCCTCAAGCAATATTGCCCATTGCCTCTGCTCTTCGTTCCCAACCAGAACTTCATAGTAAGATCCTATTGCTACCCCTAAGGGACAGATCCTCAAACAACCTTAAGAGTAAAAATAAATAGGTTTATTTGGGCCAACTGTGTGGTCTTAAACACCCAAAAGGAAGGTATAACCAAAGACTAAAGTGATCAGTGTATTTTTTTAAGAGTTTAAGGGATTACACTTCCCAGACAATAAGTTTAAGTCTATGTAAAATGTTGTTTAGACAACTATTTCTCATTGATGATATTTTTTTTCTAATCAGAAAGTGCTGCTTGGACGTAACACTTCAAATCTTGGTCTGCAAAACTGTAGTGCACACCTGTAGCTAAGGGAGGCAAACCACTATTTTTTTTAAATGATGGCTAAATTTGTTTTCTCCTCCATCTAGAAGCCTTTGAGAAGGAACTGACACTGATTCCAGCCACTCCTACAGCTATCAAAGTGCCTGAAAACAAATCTTGAGTCCATCACTCTCAAGTCCAGCCTTGGCAGACAAAAGAAAAATGAAGAGGAACCCAATAGAGGGATGCTTTTGAAAGATCTCGTCAAGAAATTTCAATCAACTCTGATATGAACATTTGAAATTTGTCTTGTTCTGACCTTTTTCTGGTTCCCTGTCTAGAACTGTAAAGCTAATTACTCTTGTCTTTACTTTTCCATCACAGGTACCAGTCAAAGACCCTTTTTTCCACACAATTAAGAGTTATACAATTTGGGAGTCTTTTAGATAGACCCACTGAAGGGGTACCCCAATTGCCTCACCCTGCATCCCTGTTCAGCCTGGGAGAAGCCAGAGCAGTCTGCATCCTGATTCCCTATCCGTAATTTGGGTAACCTCTTCAGAGGATGGTGTGATGTGTATAGGAGGTAGGAACTGGCTAGGCAGTTAGGGTAAAAATACCCCAAAGAAAAGTAGTCAGTTTCTTCGCTAAAAGTCAAAATGTCCTTGGGCCTCTTAGCAACATGCTCTGTTCCAGAGGCCAAAAAAATGTCAAAAATATTTGGGAGCACTTATCTAATCCCTAAAATATTTTAGGGTTACCTCTTCGGGGGGGGGGAATGTTAGAGTAGCAAAAACCAACATTAAAAATAGAAAGAGTACACAAAGTTGTTAGGAAAAGTGATGAGATATGGAGGAGTTGGAGGGCAGGGAGTGGGCATGGATTTGATCAAAACACCTTATATTCAAGTAGGAAATTCTCGATAATTTTTTTAAAGTTAAAGAAAAGATCATATTGCTGAGGACACTACATATAAGAACTATAGAATAAACAAGGAGTAATCAAGCTAGTGCTGACTTCAAAGCCTCATTTCAACTGTCTAGCTTTCATAATGCTAGAAGGTGCTATTCAAGCTACCTGAAGAGAAACTTTGGCATGGACTTTACCCAGCTGTGAATGCTGTGAGCTACAACAACAATTGGCATGGCAAGATATGCCCACCAATGCAATAGTAGCATGAGTATTATAGAAGTAATCAACTACTTTCTGATTGGATTTAAGGCCTGCTTCATAGTATGGAGCCCATAGCTTACATTGTTTATCAGGCCTTAGAATCTGAGGCTAGAGAGGTCACAAAACATAAGGGAGAGCCTAATGCTGGTTTCCTGCAAAGTAGATATAGTATTAAAATGACTCCTAATGACTTATTGTTATACCCATATGTTAATACAATCCTCAGCTCTCCAAAGAAAATTATCCTTACCCATCAGATTCTGATTAACACAGAGAACTACAACTGGTCAATTTGCAGAGAATAAAAGACTACAGACTGTTTATCCATGAATAGGACATCTAGATATCACTTCTGGTTGTCAAGGCTCAGAGATCATCAGGGAAGAATGAGTGGTAACAATATAAGAGCCAGAGGAGATGGATGACCACAAGGAGACAGAGTTTTCCAGACAGCAGGTCAGTTACTCCTATGAACTCACAGCAGCTGTAAATAGCATGCACAAGTTGCACATAAGTTCAAGCCAGACAAAACCACAGCATAGGTGTGTGGAAGTAGAAAAGAAACCCCAACTCTACCTGATGAAGTATTGGCACCTGATGGATGCTGGGAAGGGAAGATTCAGTCTCCTTTAAGGGTGAGACTTTTGGTAGGTTGACCAGGCTTCAGTGAATGAACTCATACAGAAGAGCATTTGGGGACACAAGCCTGATTCTATAGACTTTAATATTATATATATATATATATATATATATATATATATATATTTGGTTGATAAGGGGTGGTGCAGACATGAGATTGGATCTAAATATGATCAAAATATATTGCATAAAATTTGAAATAGCTTAATAAAAATAATTTTTAAAAATTTATTTTGGGGGCTAGTGAGTTGGGTCACTGGTTAATAGCACTAGATGCTCTTGCAGAGGACCCAGGTTTCATCTCCAGCACCCATGGGTGGCTAACAACTATCCATAACTTCAGTTCCAGGGGATCTGAACCCTTTTCCTGGCCTCCGTGTGCATTGCAGACATACGTACACTTATATACATGCACACAAAACACTCATACACTTAAAATTAAAATTTAAAAATGAATAAAAAATTAAAGAAATTTATCTTGAACAACTAAAACTACATCATTCAGGAAATTATTTGTTTTAAATTTCTAGGTCTAACTAAAAACTCTACTGAGAGATAACTTAAGGGCAAAAAAAATCCGTCATTAGCACTACTGATGAGATCATATGGAACTAAAAAAACTGTATATTTTGATAATATGATTTTAAAACTCACCAAATCCAGTTTATATAATATATTGACTAATAATAAAATATAATTCAAGATATAACTTTTACATATATCCTCCAGATCTCTGATAGCGGTAACAAAAATTTAAAATGAGCAAGCATTAAGTATTCTTTCTGATTTCATGTATCTCTTGCTCAGTTGTGTTCTCCTTTATCCTGCCTATTTTTCCATAGTGATTATATGATATATTTGACCTGGCTATTGCTGATGTTATCCTGACTGGGGAATGAAATAGATACACCATGAGAGCAATGATTGCTGCTGTGTCTCCAATCATTGAAAAGAATGTAATATACAGTAGGTGCTTTAAAAATACTTAATGGTTTCAAGGGAAGAACGATTCTTCTATATTCAAAGGGAGCTAATATTCAGAGATTCCACTTTTGTAGAACCACATGTAAAAGAAAGTGTTAATAGAAAAGTTTCTGTATGTCAACATTTGTGCATTGTAGACATATATACATACACATAAATGAACAATATCTAAATGAATAATGTTGAAGTGATTTTTTTCAATTTGGAATAATTATAAATGTATAATAATGTTAATAAATTCTGAAAAAAATAATATTTTGCCTCACTTTGTAAGTTTTTCAAATATATATCACTATATAATTTGAATATTTTTTGTCCCAAGTCATTTTAAATCAGTATTGGAAGAAAATAGAATATGCTTTCCTTAATTATAAAATCTGTGGTAGTTAGCTGTAATTGTTGACTTGACATAGTGTAGAATCACCTGGCAAGAGAGTATAAATGAGGGACTATCTAGATCAAGTTGGCCCATGGACATGTTGTGGAAAATCTTCTTATTTGGATTAACTGAGTTGGGAAGAATCACCTTGAATGTGTCAGCACTGTTTCTATCTTGTGTGACAGGCCCTAGGTTGAATAAAAAGGACTGGCAAGCATGCATGCATTCATTGCTTTCTGCTCTTGACTGAGGATGTGACTACTTGTGCTAAGTTCCTGCTGTCTAGACTTCTCTGCAGTGATGGACTATAACCTTGAACTGTAAGTTCAAATCAACTCTTATTTTGATCACAGCAACAGAAAAGAAACTAGGACAACATCTCAATTCAAAAACTATTCATTAGCTATCGAAATAGACACTTGAGGGCAATTATATGATGACCTATCACTTACTTTAACATTTTTGTTCACTAGAAAGCTGAACGCACAAAATTACTTATTAAAATACACTCCTGACTTCCCCTGAAGAATTAGGACAGACAAATGAAAGCACTCATTTTAAAGCACAAGAGGACTCATACCTCTAAATGAATACTTGATTTTCCCTAAGTTTATCTTCTATTGGGTTACTTGCTTGTTCTCCATTTATACACTATATGCAAGAGCATATGGAGCTCCATATTTACAAGCACACAGAGAGGAAATGAATTTTGTTGGCAAATTGCAATACCCCCATTTACTTAGTTCCTGTCCTTTCAGTGCATACCTTCCCAGCATCGTTCTTCACTCCATTCACTCCAAATTCCATCATCTGAACAGTACATATTCACTTTACTCCTTACAAGAAAGCATAGATCTTTACTTTCATTTGCTTTCCTTTTCATCTTCATGTCAGTTTTATCTGTGACAGACTGAAATCCAAGAAAAATAAGCACATCATTTTCTAAGTGCAGTTAGAGAGACTTCATCTCTTGGTTTCAATTTTTCACATAAAATACCTGTTTCAAAAAACTAGAATGGTATGATTCTAGCACTGGTCGTCTCTGTATTTTTATTTTTTTAAATAATTCTTCCCCTTCTTTTCTATACTTAATTTTTACTGTAGTAATAATTTGTTACATGTGATAAGGAATGTTTTAGAATGTGATGGCATGTTTTATCAGGCACAACTCTTATATAGCCTTGGTGTCTACAATGTCCAGTATTTGAACTAGTGGCAAATATTCCAGATTCTAGAAGAGGAAAAATGTCACATAAGCTGTTATTAAAAGACAGGATTTCATGTGAATGTTGCTCCTGTGGAAACTATTATGTTCATATTCAAAACGTTTTCTCCTTCACTTTCTTATTTTGTTTAGCCTTTGAAAAGCTGTATAGTAGTGCTCAGGGACTGGTATGAAACCACCACTTCAGATATGAAGATATTACAAAATATGTGCGTTACCTCACAGGTAAAACAAACCACTGAAGCAATTGCTTCAGTTTTGCATTTAAAAGAGACATAGACATTTCCTGATACACTGTGACAGCTTTTCATTTGTTGTCTTTTATCTTGAGAGCCTTCAGGGTATATAGCATTGACTTAAGTGAACTGGGAGTCAGGTTTTGATCCTAGTTCTAGTTATTTGACTGTGAATTCAATTCACCTGCCTAAGACCTATAAGCTATGTCAACAACCACTTTTCTCATTTATATGTAAAATGAATTAATTAGAACCAATGCCTCACCCAGTTGTCTCTACCACTCTCTAAATTTGAAACAGATGAACCAAAGTAACATATACCAATGTGGGGTTCAAAGCATCACAACCATTATCCTTTTTGTATGCTCCTCTTCTCTGAGTAAGCCAATATCTTGTAGCACCACGAGTACTCTAATTTTCACCTTATTATTTTTCCTGAAGAAGTGATTTTGTATTTATAGTTTTTGTTTGGGTTTTACCTAAGGCTACAATCCATTTTAGTCCCCTGGATATATATACTTTATTGACACAAATTGGAAACAAGGGACTAGATTATCTCCAGGTCATATAATTTCTTTTTTTAAATATTTTATTTATTATTTTTACTTTATGTTTATGAAGTATTGCCTGCACGTGTACAAGTGCACCTATGTCGTACAATGCCCGCGGAGGTCAGAAGAGGTTGTGGATTCCCTTGGAACTGTATTTATGGACGGTTGTTAACTGCCATGTGGGTGCTGGGAATTGAACACAGGTGCTCTGCAAGAACAATCAGTGTTCTTAACCACTGAGCCATCTCTCCAGCCCCCAAGGTTGTACACTGTCCAATGAACAAGAGAAACATACTTGTAGGCTATGGCCTTCTGGAAAGTAAACTAAAATACATGTCATGGACTAACTCTTATGGGCATGGCAACTGATTTTGATTCCCAAATATTCTGTTTTATTGAAAATGCTCAATTTATTATTTTAGTAAATAAATACAATATTCCTACCACCCAGGAAAAATCATCTTCTCGGAATACAATTTCATAAGTGTAACACCGTGCTGGAATGGGTCCTCCAGGTGTGCTCCATTTCATTTTGATTTCAACTGAATTCTCCACTGTAATATGAAGGAAGTCTGGTGGGAATGGTTTAACTGAAAAGCAGAAGAAAACCATCTCAAAATGAAAAGTTGTGGAAGTTAGTAGCAGCCCTCTCCCAAAGCTGAGGACACTTAGCCACAGAATTATTCAGGGACAAACTAAGTGGCTCAAGACTTTTCATAATAATGTGTATGAAAATCAAAATTGTTTGCCAATCAAAATGAACTTCTTGAAAAACTTGTTTACTTGTGAACTCATTTTTATTCATTTGTTTTTGATAAATTACACACTGGCAAATATTTAAGACCAAGAAAATAATCATAAGATCCAAATCATTGAAATAAATTTTCCATTTTGCAGCTTTAGAAACAACAGTCAAACCAGTATTACTTTATTTTGACCACTAGCCTAAGCTTTATTGGTACAGTTATGATGCATTCAGCAATGCACCATAATATGCAATCGTAATATCATTCATGCCTCACAGTAAAGCTATAAGGTGGTCTTCTACTGTCTTCATGTATATGCTAAGGAATTTGAAACAGAGAGCTTAAGTCATTTGCTTAAAGCTACACAACTGGAAAGTGGTAGATCCAAGAAGGTTTAAACTTAGGTCTGCCTTACCATAGAACCTCTCACTGTTGTAATTGTTAGAGCTGATAACACAAACTCAGAAAATATTCAACCATTTTGATTCTCAATCATTAGTCTTATGAAGTTGAGAATAATAGGTTCTATAATTATTCCTTCATTGACAATAAGGAAAAGCGCTAAATAGCAGACAAACTACGTGAAGTTGAGAAATAAAGTATCATTTCTAAAATCAACATTTTCCACATCACTCATAGTTTCTTCTGTGCTTCCTCATATACTCTGTCACCTTGAAATTTCTGGCTTTGTGCATCCATCACTTCTATAAATCTCTCTCTCCTCTCTTCCAAACTCTCTCTTTTTGCCTGTCCCCTCTCCTCTCTTTCTTGCCCTCTTCTTTTCTCCACTGGAAATCACCTAAACTACAAACAATGCATTTGAAATTGAAGTGGTATGTTCATATCACCTATATTTTGAAGCTGGAAAATGTAATAGCTGGATCTGATAGGTTCAAAATCTGATGATCCATTGACACAGATAAAAAAATCTTTATAGTCTGATGACTCCAAGTTGGAAAGTTTGCACCCAATATTTTTGGTGTTCTCCTGGAGATAATTGACACACTGCAAGGCATGATCCAAGCCTTCATACCTATGAAAAAACAGTATTGCAAGACTTGTTAAGCAGTAACTTTTAGTATCCTGGTGTTCTGTTTCAATTATTTTAAGGTGCCATGTAACAAATACAATCATTCATTAATATACTGTGAATACCTAATATATGCTGCATGCTATAAGCACTAGGAATTCAACTGTAGGGAAGACAGACATAGTTGAAGATTTCATTTCAATCTGATGGGAGTCTTTACAAAAATCTCACCAGCAAATTGTGAGCCTTACTTATGTATTTAGTTTTTTTGACTGATCAAATTTAGGAATCAATTTCTTTCTATTAAAAAAAACCCAGTAAGACACATCCAACAGAGGTTTAATATCCAGAATATATAATGAGCTAAAAAAATAGAGAATCAAGACAAGAAGCAACCCAATTTAAAGATGGGCTAAGGAGCTGAACAGAAAGTTTTCAAAAGAAGAAGTAAAGATGGCTATGAAACATCTTCAAAGATGTTCAACATCACTAATAATCAGGGAAATGCAAATTAAAACCACTTTAAGATTTCAACTTACCCCAGTC